GCCGTCGTCTTCTGGTGGAACCGACCTTCGAATCTCTACACCAAACACTTCTACTCGAAATGGAAGTAAGCCAAACGATAATATATTCGTCCGTGTCTGTATAAGTTCAAGTGGTCCTATTTTTGTCAGGTTCGTTCACCCACGCTGGATCAGAAGAGAAACCATTGAGTGAACCTTAAATATTCCTTCAGAATTAGAATCTATACATAATTTTAATTTGTCGATGTAAATCACTGGTTTTATCCTCTGAATCTGGATATCTTCGAAGCCATTCATCTTAACTTTTTAACTTTGTCAGCCCAAATGGATTTAGAGCGACTCGGTAAGCGAAGGATTATCGTGAGATTGTCGGTAATTTTTATTTTACGCTGTCCATATGTATTTTTAAATTGTTTTTTAGAATAAAGTTGCTTCCGTCTTTTTTTCTGACTTATTTAATCGTTTATTTTTTTATTCAGTCGCATACTTGTCAGCACTGATGTTTGGGCGCGTGGAATTGATGTTCGCTCCGTTGGCCTTGTTATCAACTATGATCTCCCACTCACCCCTGCTGCTTACTTACATCGGATTGGAAGATCAGGTCGATTCGGCCGCCGTGGTGTGGCTATCAGTCTCTTGGCTGGCTCCAAGGACAAAAGGCAGCTCACTGAAATCGCCAAGTAAGTCATCGCTTCATATAGCTACCTAAATAGATTATTGTGATGTTATACTTAGCATTTAGGATTATATTAATTCGACGCAAAAGTCTAATTAAAACCCTCGGTACAGCGGTGTTCACGGACGGAATTTTTATTGCTCAAATAATAAGTCGTATGCCACCACTTGCTCTCAATCCTTTTTTGTTTTTACTTTTCATTTATGACCATTTTCATGTATATGAATTCGAGCTTGAACTTTGTTATCTAATCTATCCTCGATCATTATTTCGCCTCGTTTAAAAGAAATCCTTATATCAAGCAGTCGTCTTGGATTAAATTTGCAGATTATTATCGGATCATGTAATATGTATAAATATATTGAGTCGGTAATTAATTTCTTTCTCAAGAGGCACTTATTTGAATTTGAATCTTACATTCAGGTTATATTTTTATAGTGATTCAAACTCAGTGTCCAAGGTTCTCATTTTTATTGATTAATGTATTATACATCTTTGTAGACTTACTACCCAGTCATAAAATTAGTAGAGTGATTTTTAAATCAATGGGTACTTTTCATTTTTCATATGCAGATTTTTCATACTACCAGTAAATCATATATGTGACATGTATTCACTCTCTTTCGTAAGACGATAAAGGACTGGTAGTTGAATTTTCTCACAATGATATGAGTAGGCCTTACGTTTCCATTAAATTTCACATGGTCTTGTCTTCCCAAAAGGTGGCCTTATCTAGGGTGAACTAAAGTTTCGACTTCACCTATGTCTTATCAACAGCCCCAGCGGGACTCTGACCATAATAATGCAGCGTATAATCTCTTCAAGTTAACAGTAACATCACACCACCACGAGTGCTCTTGGGTCACAAGGCAGATGCGAATTTTAAGGAAGGCCAGGCATCTTTCCCATATCATATTCCGTGGTTAGATTGTCCGATAAGCAAAGTTCTATTAACTATATCACTGAACTACAGTGTTCATTTTTCGCTTTCTCGTGACCTCGGAGCATTCGTGGTAGTGTGTCATAGTGGTTACCGTGTAGAGATCATACACTGCACTATCACGATTCGAGTCCCTCTATATGTGCTAATGAGACCTAGGCGAGGTCGAAACTGCAGTCCATCTTGGATGAGAATACGTTTTGGGAAAGCAAGGCTATGTAAAATTCAATGGAAACGTAAGATATCCTCATATCATTGGAGCAAAATTTATCTACCAGTCCCCACCTTAAACAAAATAGGTTGCTTACATATCATATAATAAGTAATTTGGTCCCATATCTTTAGCTGGTATTTCTTAAATCTAGGTTACTAAACTGACTTTGCTCAAGAATATCAGTGACCTTATTCTTGTGATTATACATTTTAGTAGGGGATACAGCATAATATTAGAATTGAAGCTCAATCAATGCGTATTCTTCAATTGGCCAAATTTCATTTTTCCTAATAATCCGGTATATTGCATCGCCACAAGTGGAATTAGATACATTATTCTATCAATTTGCCCATCCCTCCAATTAATGGTATGAATATGCTAAGTTCCTGAATCAAGTAGACTTCTCTCATAATTTGTGATTGTTTGCAATCCTATGCTTGCTATTATATCCGACACTATTAATATTAACTAAAACAAGAGTAACAACATCTAGAATAAGGTAATTAAGAGATATAAAATGAATTTTCACATAATGATATGGATAGGCCTCATATTTCAATTTAATTTCACTTAGCCTTCGAAGGTATGAAGACCAAGATGGTGTGGCCTCTTGTGTGGTCGCAGTCTCCTTTCGTTGTATAGAAGTTGTTTTGACCTTGTTTTCGCAACTTGGTCATATAGATAAAAAGAGACAAGTCTCTGACGAGTTTTAATATGGTGCTACGAATGGCTAGACTTACTGACGATACAGGCGAAGCGTCTGGGAATGTACCACGTCCACGGTCCTACTCTTAAAATGATGATACATACAATGGACTCCGGACAAGGTGCGTTCCCCTAAGTCTTCCTACGAATATGACCGAGTTGCGAAAACAAGGTCAAACAACTTCTTCACTTAGCCTTGCTTCTCAAAAGGTATTCTCATCCTGGGTTAACTACAGTTCCTACCTCGCCTAGGTTTCATCAACACCCTCATCTAGACAGTGATGATGCATTGAGATTATACGCTGTACTATTCAGGTTCGATTCCCTCCAGGGATGCTGAGATGTATGCAGGTCGAAACTGCAGTCCGCTTTGGATAAGCATTTTTTTGGGGAAAAAGGATAAGTGAAATTAAGGGAAAACTTGAGACCTTGTCATTTCATTGTAGGAAAATTCAACTATCAGTCCTTCATTATCTTATCATCCAAAGTAAATATAGCTCTTATTAGGGCTCCACTGGTAGTCAATATATGAAGGGATATAAGTTCATTCGTACTCTTTTTTAACTATCTATGAGAGTTACTGATAGTCCTGAAAACTACTTATACCAAAAATAATATAGGTTATT